AGGTGGATGGGGGAGGGACTTGGTGCTAGCTTAACACAATCATTCCGAGGTGCCTACACCTCCAGACATTCACTCAGGCAATCTGGATAGAAACTGACAACAAGAACGCCACTGACATCGGTTGGCAGCCATATCTTGTAGTGTCTCCAACCAGGCACAGTGAGGATCACGCGGTCCCCATCCTGGAAGGCGAGTAGCACCGACAGCACCCAAGCGTTCCATAATCTCCTTCATAGTACTCTTCCAGGTCGAGTACTGGTCATCTCTCTGATTCCGCCACTCTGAATTGGACACGGAAAACAGCACTCTCGTCAGCAAACGATGGTTCGGCATACGCACCACATGTCCCAACCAGCGCAGCTTCTGGTGCTGGACACATTCCTCAATGGAACTACCCGTTGCACAACCGAAAACGCGCTTTCTAACTGCCTCATTACGGATTCGCCGACACCAACCCATGCGAGCTATGGTTCTGAGACAACGATTGTCGAACACTTGAAGACGTCTCAATTCCGCTGCTCGAATAGGCCAAGTCTCACAGCCATACAACTAAACAGCCCGTACTGTATCTTGATACACACGTCCCTTGAGATCCAGAGATAAGCCACTCTGGTGCCATAGGCGTCTCAAATTAGCGAGGGCGACTGGGACCTTGCGGATTCGTACATTCACCTCATCTGTCACACTACAATCAGAACTAATACAACTTCTAAGATTCGTAAAACGCTCCACAACTTCCAGTACCTCCCCCTGGATTGTAAGTGGCGTGTTCAGTGACTGCACGTCCACAAGCATGACCTTACACTTTGTGGGTGCAAAGTGCATATCAAAGGACGGGATGAGTTTGGTCAGTTCGTCCAAGAATACTTGCGCCTTTTCCTCCTCTTCGAACATGAGAACGATGTCGTCTGCGTACTCCAGATCGGCAAGGGTTTCTTCACAGCCTATTTTAACACCAGGGTTTTGGAGACTCTTCAGCATCCGTTTCATCATTTTATTATTATTATTATTACTCCATAACAGTTCATTATGTGGTCGTTGGCTTGTTCGGTGAGCTGGGCAATTTGATTGCAAACGCTTCATCACCAATCGAGGTGACATCATCAGTGCGTTATTGTGAAGCGCAGTAGTGCGTAGCGGTGGGTTGGTCGTTGTGCGTGTGTGGTTGTGTGTGGTTAGTGGTAGGCACAACCATCAACCCACCGCAATCAAATTGCCCAGCTCAGCGAACAAGCCAACGACCATCATCTACGATACCTGAGCTACCAACATTTTCCTCTATAGTTTATTATGTGTGTGCCACGCATTTTGAAGTGTTCGACCCATAGTGACACTGGAATTACCGTTGTACTGATCCGGCTGGCACTAGTTAGTCATACAGACGTCTATCGGCTAGACCTTGTGAACGATGCTATCCATCCTGTACGTAACTGCTGTTTCTCGGCCGTTTTGTTGTCCTCCTCTGATATAGAAACAATGGGCTATCGCTCTGGTATGCTTAAAACTTCCCTCTTTTGTTCGTCTTCTACAGAGGAGACGTCAAATACGTTGCATCTACTCATCAACGCAGACCGCAAGTAGTATTATCTATTCACTGACATGTTCCGTCAGCATAATTCAATGTGACTCGTGAATTCAGAGGTAGACATTAGCTCACCGTTTGGTCTGCTCACCCAGATAGACATCTACTTATCATTTTTAGTTGAGGATCAGGATTCCTGTTGGCTGTTTGGACGAACTTTTGGTCGATATCTGGTTGATCTGATTACTTGAACAGTTGACTTGAGTAAACTTCACATTATGAGCTCCCTCTTAAAAGTTTCTTACTCAAGAGAATATTTGTCCGGGGTGTTTGTGATGAGAATCTGCTGACACCTATTATATACATGCCTGCTGTGCTGCTTCAGTTTGGGAGGGACGTTGAAAATTGGTTCTCGCTTTTTGGCTAAGGCCACGCGTTAACAAATAATTATTGAAATTGTATTTTTTCTGTATGACGTAGGCTAAGATCTCGGTGTTCACGGCGGCGAAAAATTGCTCCCAGACCACTAACAACGTACACGAAGCCCCGTAGTAGGTTGATGGAACTTCGGATTACAGAAGATACTGTGGATGTGTCTGAAGGCAAAAATGCAGATTCGCCAACTTATTAGCAATGTTTACATATTTCCTCACAATTCTAGTGTTCTCACTTTGAGTTTACTTAACGCACTTGCCTTTCCTGGATCACTTTAGGTGTATGATCCAGCGGCAACAATGAGAAACAGCGATTTGACCAAATACTTTCGAGTCAACCTTCGAAGATGTCGGGAGCTTATGGAACACCATTGCGTCCCAAAGGTTAGTTTCCCTAATGTAACCTTCGTATGTAACGTGTCGGAGTATTGTTACCTCGAGTGCATTCAATGGCAATCGTTCAGGTTGCTGTTGACCGATCGGACCAATCAGGCTTCAGGTGCGGTGGTTATCAGCAGCCAATCAAACTATAGAATAAAGTTGCTCTTTGTCAACCATATAGGCGCAAGCACGAAGATGGAAACTATGCGCCCTAATAGGCACTGACCGCGCCTGTTTTAATGGTGGCGAAACGTGTACGAATATATTGCCAAGCTGGGTGAACAGATCAACACCCACTATATCAATTACCAATGATGTTCGTTTGTCTAACTGTCCGGAATATTTGTGTGAATGGCTGCAGTCTCCTTCAAATTGCACTTACCTCAAATTTCTTTATACAACTCTGACGCTACCACATGTTGAACTTGGAATCACCGGATCCAGGCTTACTTTTTGTGTCGCTAGAGAACATTAGGGAAAATGACCGCTCTTGCAATCATGGAAGAATCGGAGGTGTATCGCTCCACAGTCTGCGACTTATAGCGAAATTTTTATCACGATAGTCTACTTCAGTGTGAAGCCAACTGAAAATAGTGGCAACATGGCTTCTTACGCTTACTAGTTCCAAGCTATCTGTTGTGTTACTCACAAACTACCGTAGTCCCACGCAGTATGTTTGATTTGGGTTCACCACCAGCTACGTTCGCATCAAACCATTCATGTGGCGGACGGGAGTGTAAAGTAACCACTTATTGACCAAAAGAAGTCGAAATAACTATCAGGAGAGAAAGCGAGAAGCAATGCATCGGAAAGACATCAATATATGGCATTGTCCTGTGTAAAAATAGGGTGTGAGCGGTACTCATGATCAAACAGACCAAGCATCTTCCTCCACCCATCCACCCAGATTGCGATATATGACCTCCATTGAAAGCAGAGGTCGGAAAAGTGCGTCTTCTGTTGGGTCACAAACACTTTAGTCATTGGAGAGAAGTCAATTCAGAGGTAAATCCCCGAAGGTGGAAATGATATCAGTCGGTTTTAATCCCTTCGCTGTATATGATTGTGCGTCAGACTACGCTTAACTAAAAGTCAGTTTGTGCGGGTCGGGTTAGGCGACGAGACTCCTGTTAACCGAAATACTCTCTTGGTGTACCGTATCAAACTGACCGATCAATCACACCCATATGTGACAAGAACTGCCGGGGCCGTGGTGAGCTTCACTCAAGAGCGGACAACATACAGTGGATATGTGCATATCTGGTCTAATTTTACTCAGTCGCGCCAGCTGAGTAGTGATCAGCATCGATGCTCTGCAGTATTGAACTGTTCTCTAGATCAGTAATCAGTATTCTAAGGGAGCCTTGGGGTCTTTCCAGTGACAGCAGATCACTCCACGTTTTTTCATGCGGGCAAACCTCGTGTTTTGAAACTATCTATAGACTTGGGACGTGCAAATTGTTTTCAAATGAACAACAATGATAGTGACCTATGTACAATTAGAGGCAATCTCACAAAACTTATCAGAGAGAAGGAACAGAAAATTTCACTTGGTTTCGTTGACCTGTCCAGTAACAGACTTTCAGGTATAGCGGTCAATCCCTAGCTGGCGTTTGACCTGATGGCCTACTCCTTCTGATGTGACCACTGGACCGATTCAGCTGGAGTGCTGTTTTTAAGCTGTTTTTTAAGCTGGATTCGTTTACTCTGGCGCTAATTGCGTCATCTGCTTTGCCTACCCGTGTCCTTGAAGCGCTTGAGGGGTGAAGTTCGACTGTGTACACTAGTACAAGGGCTTCGTTGAGACCTGCCGTGTGACAGGTGTAAAGCAGAACGGCAGCCGGAACGAGACTATCAGGCCACGGTAGCCTTTGGCACACACGAAGAGGGGAGGACACTTATGAAACTTTGCGTCCCTTACGCGTCAAAAAATGCCAGGGGGTTCCACAATCAAAGCCAACAATTGAACCGGAATTTTACCGTTGCATTGACCTTTGATATATATAATTCACGTGCGGATTTCGGCTTGTGGTATGTTTCGACGAAATAAATCTTCGTTGAACATTGTTCGCAAAGTCAGTTGTGTTCGTGAAACCTTGAAGATTGAAATAAAACCACCGAAAGTAAGTAAAGATTCTTTTAGAGTATTCAATCCTTTTTTAATGCGAGCTACACAGTTTGAAACGATTACTCCAAGTTTCGACGAGGTTGTTGTAATTAGGATAAACAATTTTCCAATGCAGCTGTAAAGCAGAACTTACATTGAAAGGTAAATTTTTCAATTACATTCTGGATCGGTTAATTTTTTTGGAGTTTTCCGTGCCTCACACTTCCAACCGCATCGTTTTTCGTCCCTGCCAACCTCAGAATGGAGTTAAGCGCATTTGCAGCCGGTATACTTAGAATTGATGGACATACCAAAAGTTTTTTCGAGATAGGTAGACCAAGTCGCAAGTATGTGGCGCTTTTCAGACTGACCTTAACTGATGTTGTGACTTGCTGAACGGTCGTGCAACTCTGTATCGGTCCCTTGGCTTCCTGCTACAACCAGTGTGGTATACCAAAAGGCACGGTAGCTCTAGACAGCCCCTTACGGAGACAACGGAAAATTATTACAACTGTGTTTATAGGTTAATCACAGAGTGTTCCACAAGGTCATGCTAGGAGCACCGTGAGGAGGCGATAATCGTCCAGTCTAGAATGCTCGGTCCGGATTGGCTGGCATTCTGACCAATCAGAGCATGCCTTCGTTTGGTCCGTAGCCCGCACGTGATCCAACTGATGTGATGTTCGGTTATTAGGGACGGTTGGACTCCGGACAGCTAGTCAAACAGGAATGGGCAAAACAGACTCAAGTTGACCACATATTTTGACACGTCAGTAAACAGTGTATGACCTTTTCTTTCGTAGGGGAAATTGTTTTCGATTGAAGACCTGCTAAACACGAAAACCTCTACAGGCCTTCTTTCCTTGGCCACTTCCGTTCTCCACCTGTGTAATATATTGTCTGGTTCGCCAAGAAGTCCAAAACACCAAATCCCCAAACAGCACGATGATTCCTACACAGAATCGAAATACAAACAACCGAGCGCCCACCACACAAAGCAGCCAGAAATACACAGTAGCCCCAGACCGCGGTCAACGCAGAGTTCATGGCCACAGCATTTGTGCTCCGATGTCTGATTGACCGCTCGATTTTGCAATGTTTCCACTGAACATTTTATCTTTTTATGTGACAGTCTGAGGAAGTTTTGATTTATTTACATCCTGATTTCATTACTTCAATAATTTTGATCGCAATAATTTCTTCGTGACGATTATGTGGAATAAATCTCCTCAAGAAATGATGGTGAATTGAAATTTTGCAGGTATTGTCTGTAACATTTTTAAAACTGGGGAAATCTGACATGCCGATCTTTAACGGTCCCATTCTCTGGCCATACAGTGTACACAATGTACCGTACACAACTGTTGTGACTTTCTGGACGGTAGTGCAACTCTGTATCGGTCCCTCAGTTTCCTGCTCCGCCCACTATGGTATAGCAAAAGGCACGGTAGCTCTACACAGCCCTTCATGGAGACAAAGGAAAATTATTACAACTGTATTCATAGGGTAGTCACAGAGTGTTGCACAAGGTAGTGCCAGAATCTCAGTAAGGGGGCGAGAAGCGTCGAGTCAAAGGTGATTGACTCGGATTGGCTGACATTCTGACCAATCAGGGCATGCCTTCGTTTGGCCCGTGTGCTGCACGTGACATCCGTCCAAATGATGTGGTGTTCGGTTATTAGGGACAGCCGGCCTCCGTACAACAAAGTAACGTCTTACAAGTTTATCGCTTGTCGATAAATTGATAAAATATTCGGCATCACCTTTTCGACAAGAAGCATTTGAGTTAAAATCAGTGAGATATAGGCTCGTGAATTAATCTCGACCATGGCAGGGACTTTTGTATGATAGATTTGTGACACGAAAAATGGTACAGTGGCAAAATGAAACAAAAATCTTTGACACGCATCGTGATATCGGTTTTTCAAAAACTTGTTCTCAAATAATTCTGTTTCCCAGGACAAATGCGACCGCGAACAACGTTTATATCTTGTTTCGCTAATTAAAGGACTCAGTTGATTACTTCTAAATGAAAACCACTGCCGCGCAGTAGCCAACATTTAAATTTTGTGCCCAACAAATCGTCAAATTTCTCCACGTTCGTCAGGCATTAGTCGGAGAAATGATCTACGGGTACTGTTTATTGGATTAAGCGTAGACTTCAATGAATGGATAGCATTCGATACAGAGTTGCGATTCATCGTTTAGCATTTGTGACACAGGTGTGATTATCGTTCCAAGTTTGCACTGTCGAACATTGTGTCGTCTACGACCACGAGCAACGTGATAGGAGTTGTCCCGCCGTAATATTTCATACAGTTCGCATTTAAAGCTTAGGTTTTATACATTTAGATTGTTCTAACACGTCTTTACCCTGCTTAGACCCCCAAAACCCTAATGAAAATGAGTCTCAGTGGGTGCCTCGTCCTTTGCGCAGAACGAATTTGAGGTAATATGTCCTGCAGGTTGACTGAGAGTATGCAGAAAATTTCTGTTATATCCGTTCGGTGATTTTCAAAGAGCCATGATGATTCTCATAAAAAATAACAATCATTTTGATTGCTGTAATTTCTTGAAGTTTGTACGTTGGCAAGACCTCAAATCTGAGGGTCATCGGTTCTTGCGCGTGGCAATGCATTACCAAACCTCGAATTGAGGGTTCGCCTTGCAGGGCCTTTCAGATGGTATCGCTTTCCGTTGGCTTTTTGGAGTCTCAGTACTTTTTCGGAAGATTTGAGCAAAAAATCATGAAGTGAAAAAATCTTGCTAAAATGTGAAACGAACGAAATTCCTTCGCGGCTTTTTTTGGGGGCAGTTCCAACGAAATTTCCATTCGGACTACTGATTTCAGTTTAAGTAGTTTAAAGGTAAAGCGAAAGTATCATTCTCAACACAGTGCGACGGTCAGTGAGCATGGCATGACACAAGTCTGATGAGCCTGCATTTCGATAGCTTCCAAAGTTCTTGCAACTACAAAGGTTGAGACGATGAAACAAAAGCCAAAGAATGACGTAAATTTTAAGATCTTAAAGTGCCTTCTTACCGTTAATTTCATCACGCCATTGTCTATTGGTTTCAACTGAACTCAGGCGTCTTACTAAACTATAATTGACCACTCCGAGTACATGTTATCCTTACAAGTCAGAGAGGGTCATAGCATAGGGCTAAATAGTTTCATGCCCCGGGAGGTAGATTCAAGAAATGCGACAATCTACGTACAAAGACTGGCGCAAAGGAATTATGAGATCGCGCATGACTTTCGTCATAATTCCAGCTTTACTGTACGGAGTAGATGAGTTTTAGGATGACTGAAATAAGCAGCGCTAGAAGCGAAGCTCAAAGCTTAGAGGGAATAACCAAAAAACGAATGATATGTAATCAGCTTGAAACAGAAATTGGTTTCGCAACGAGTTTGCTACCTAAAACTGAGACGATGAGTGTTACAAAATGATACTGATAAATGCTTGATGAAACTTGCCATTCAGGCGCTTTCAACAAGAACGAACGTACTTCGAATAAGCTTTACGATGAGTCAGAAACCACTGCCCTAATGTGAAGGCAAGCTTTGGTAACCTTCTACACCCTGAGAATACCGGTTAGTGATTCCGCGTCTTTTAGGTCATGTGACATTTCCGTGACTTTCATATTTCGGTTCTAACAATAACTGCTGAAAGCTGGTATTCCTAGTGTGGCGGAAAACATGGAAGACGTATCGATTTGCACAATTTTGTATCGACCAAGTTTCTTGAATCAAATATCTTCTTGTCAGTGAAGCCAATCTATACACTGAAAGGCCGCAAAGTACTGTACAGCTGTTTCAGCTAGTGTAGCGGTGGGTGCTGCTGATTAGACATGCGAGTAGTGTTTTCTCGAAAATCCGCTTTGCGTCTCTTGAAAAGTGAGATCTATTACGAAATTTGTGGAGTCGCATTTGCTTGCGTTTGAGTAACAGTCAATAATAACCAGGATGATTTAAGGAGACGCGTTCAAGGACAAGATGAATAGTCAGTTTTTGTAAACAAGATGCGTATGAGAGTTTTGCTTTCCTGTCCAATAGTCTGTAACCGTTCAGTTGGTGTTTCCTAATACACAACTCCACAGCAAATGCCTTCTTCCTTTTACCAGTAGTGCGCGTTCCACGAAACTTTAGAGAATCTATAACTCTTGATCTCCCAGGTGCTAGGGGTTTGAACATTTGACAGCCATGAGCGTCTAAACAGCAATGAGACAAGCAATCACTTCGTCGTTGTTCAAGGCGAAATGATTCTTTCAGCTTCAACGTGACATGGGTCTTACCATTCTCTTCCTGGTGACCGCATATCGACTCATATAATGTCACCAGAAACGAGTTAAATCCCATATCCATATTTTTAACTCACCCAAAATATGGTTCTGTTGTACTCTGAGATAAAAAAAATCCCCCAGAAGATTTTTAGTCAAAAATTGGAAAAAACGAAAACCGATGGCTTTGTAGGCTTTTATTTGCACTGACAATTGGTCCAAATCAGGCGTCAGCGGAGGCTGACAAAAAACAGTTGCCAGTTCTGGTTAATATTCTCACAGTCAGCTAAACATGCTTCTTTCTAAGAGACGCGCTACGGAAAATGAGTTTACTGACATGGTTGGATCACTTGCATTGCTCTGATGATAAGGCGATCCACTCTTATCAGACGTGCAATCAGGGAGTTGGACTTCATACGGGATTGGGCCAGGTGGTGAATTCATTTCAACTGAATCATCTCCTGGATGTTCTAGTGCACATTCATGAGGCCAAACAATCGGATTGGATCTTGGGTGAATCGGAGCTTCCACGTCTGTGAACCACAACTTCGAGTGCATAATTGTGGCCCATGGTTGTGTGGGGGGTTCTGTCTGTGTCCAAAATAAAACAATACAATGAGAGTGGGAACCGAAAATGAAATTGAGTTTATTTTAAAAAAGGAAACTACTCGTAACGTTGCTGAAAACTCCTCGACATTTATGAAAATATACTGCGATATCTCGAATAGCGTACCAAATGAAACGTGAGGCGGCCTGTGTGCAGCCCATTCAGTCGTAGGATATCATGAACCAGAGATTCGCTTGAGTCTCCCGTGAAAACCAGATTGATTTGCAAATGAGTATATTTCTCGAAAACAGTCCAACTCGGGTTCAAGTAGAACATAAGGTTGACGGAAACTCGGGGACTGCGCCTACCTGATGAGCCCCAAGAAGGGCGTAACCGGTCGTGGACTGTCGGAGCGTTTTCAGCAACCTTGTGAGTAGTTTCCTTTATGAATCTCGATGATATCTCGAATATCATACGAACTGAAACATGAGGCGTCCTGTGTGCAGCACATTCAGTTGTAGAATATCATAAACGAGAAATTCAGTTGAGTCTCCCGTGAAAATCAAAACAATTTGTAAATGAATGCATTTGTCACGAACTAGATTTTGGTTTGGTGTTGCTTGAATCTGTAAAAAAACGCGGAAAGATTAACGTCCTTACAATCACTTCGTATGATCTTTTTACTGGTTGCTGAGCACGAAGAATGATTCACATGGATTCTTGAACAACATTGTTAGTTCAAAGAACGAAATGTTTCCATTGGGAAATTAAAAAAGAACGCATTTCACCTGGAACCGAAGAGAGCAATAAAGTCCAAGCATGTGGCAAGTCTCCAGTTTGAATTAATCCTTTTAAGAGAGAAATGAAAGATTTTTACGGAATCATGGTTAAACCCAATGAAACCCGTGACGTGAACCTTGTTCGTTGCATCATATTTCTCTAACAAATGTCAAGGATCGATTCTTCATCCTTTTAGAGCCAGCTTGGCGAAACGTATCGTCAACGCATTGGCTACTCTGCTTTCTAACTCACTTGTGTTGAGAACTGTATGGAATGACCACGAGTCTTCGGGCTTTCGTTACAACCAGATGTTTCAACTTCCTTACACACACCTTGTCGTCCTCTCATCACACCTGAGTTACGGTTAGATGACCAAGTGCTACGTTCCACTGCGGTTGACTCCTATTTGTCTGCTCTACCTTCATTAGTTTAAGCCTATCATGCGAACTCTGAAGGTAGCCTTTACCAACCCTCATCCGCTGGAAAGTTGATAGCGTCTCCCTGGACAAAGTGACCAAAACGTACTGTGATAGTGTACAAAACTTCCATCCAACTTAGTCAGCTATAATAGAATATGTGCCAACAACAGAAGCCTTCATCATTTAAATCAGTTCCCG